AATAATATGTAATAGTCAGGCTAATAATTATAAACTAACACAAAAATCATGTCGTTTATGAAAGTAAGGTAATACACTCGAGCACACACTCAAAAGGCAGAAACAGATGTGGAACAGTCAGAAACAGGTGCATACAGAACTATACAGAACAGCATCATACAGAACAGACAGAAAGCTCGAAGCCACAGACAGATTAAATATATAAAAATAACTACGCACCTTCATTTTATTTGCCTGTATTCTCACATTGTCACAATCTTCCACCCGCTTCTCTGCCGAAGCGTTTTGCAAAGGTTCACACGGAGTTCCTCGTGAATTAAAGTCCAAAAGTTTGAAGAAAGGATTCTTTAAATTTTAATGTATGGCTCGGATGTCAGCGTCCGAGTGACCAGGATAGACTATCGAACATAACTACAAAGAACTGGCTATTTTCACCAAGCACACACAGCTCTAAATATAGATGTAATAGTACAGAATATATACGTTTTTAACAAGACAAAAAATAAAATAATCAATAATTACGGAGTAATATTCTACTGGTTCCTATTCCCGTTAAGTTTCACCGAAAAACCCATTATGTATAGTGTGCCAAGGTACACACTAATAACCTCTACCCTCAATTCTACCGCGCCACCATCGATATGACGCTCTGCTAGAGTGACGCAACCTCTTGCTCACTCTCAATCCAACTGGTATTTTGTACACACCGATATCTTTTATTAGCCCTTAATTTTAAAACAGGATACTATGGTGCTTAAGACGCATACATTCCTCTATCTAAATATACCTTTAAACTAATTGAAACAGTAATAAGTGTGATTCATTGTGATATGCTTGATATATGTGTTTCGGAGGAATTTAATTTCGTTCAAGAGATAGCTGACAGGTAAAATTAAAGACAACACGTTGTCTTTAATTTAATCTGCTTACACAATGTGCACATTCGTATATTTGGCTAACAGATTGTTTGTGATTAGACGATCTAGAAAATTTATATACAAATTATTATGTACAAAAATTATATCTAATACTTGTCTTGCCAATTTTTTTCTTTTGGAAAAGTTTTACAAATTCGTGAATGAATTTGTATTTAACATTACTCCGATGATAAATCCAAATTGAAAAGTATTGCAGTAATCACAAAATCAGTAGGCGAATTGGCTTATACATTAGCCTCCTACAGCGCCTTTATGTATTTTAACTTAATCAACCACCTCATGGAAACACAAAAATTATTGCCTAAAACTGATATGAACGATATAATACTTACGAAATATTCATTACTGGTAACAAAGCTGCAATTGTATTATAACTACAACACAAATAAAAACAACAAAAAGGTGGACCGGAGGTGAGTAGCCATAGCATTTTTCTCCGATACAGAACTGTCATTCATTTTTTGTGGAGGGAAATCTGCGCACATTAAAACACACATAACAATGAAAACAATAAAATAACAATTTCACAAACACAAAGATACAATATAACAGTATCGCTCTGTAACAGCGACAATTTGGGTACGGGCGTGGATCAGTAGCTCGATAGATCTGCAAATGATGAGTACGAGCGGCCTGTGTTGCTAAATAAATTCGAAACAACACGACCGTTATTACTGTAATATTTAAGTTTAAAAAGAAGTAAATAGCAATAATGTGATTAAACATTACTTATATAAGAAAGGCAATGCCATTATTGTTTAAATTGACGTGGCAGGTCACTTTTTGCAATAAACATCTAAACAGTAGGGTATTACACACATTTAAAAAGGGTTTTAAATGAATCCTAGAGTGATAATGAACCACTATAAATTTTATATTTTTTTTAAAAACCGAATAGTGCTATAAAAATTACTTTTAATCTATTGTTTTAAATTTTCGCGTAAAATCGCTACGCGCCATGCTGTTCAACTCGTGACGTCTCTTCCCTGGAATTTTGCCGACTTTGCAAAGGAATAAGATACTTTTGGATGTTTAATAATGATACCGTATTCATAATACACAAACAACCTAAACGTCCATCAATACCAACGAATGTGGTACCAATTAGATGGCGCGCCAGCACAATCTGTAACAACAGGCAGGCAGTGGCTAAATGATACGTTTGGTGCACAATGGATTGGTGCACATGGAAAATTACACACAACATAAGATTATGGGTTCTGTTAAACGAATTCGAATTAACAGAATAAATATTAGTACTTTCTGCTTTTACGAATCCGTCTTCAATGATGCCTTTTCAATAAAATTCGAAATAAAACTCAACAATCGTAATGATAACTTGAAAATTTTAGAAATAACAACACACAGTATCTAATATGGCGGAGAGCGTTTTGCTAAAAATATTCTTAAAATTGAAATATAAAATTTATAACGCTCTTATATAGATTCATGTATAGATTTGATGTAAATTGTATTATTTTCAAAATCGAAAAGATTTTTTTTCACCTTTTTTGAATAGCACTCCCTATAAGTCTTATTTGAAAATAAGTCCTTCATTTACGATCTTTCTATTTCGGCCCATTTTTAGTCGTTATAGCGGAGAAACCGTGAACTAACTTATTATGCTCATTATCAAGAAAGCCCAAGTATTGTGACGAGCAACTACGGAACCCTGCCTTTTAGTTTTGCGTAGCCCACATGCACTTGGTCAGTTTTTTTTGGTTCTAAGTTGTACAGTTAAACATACATGTAGTCACTTATCATTACTTTCCTTCCACAACAGCCAAGATACATTAAATCTTCAACCGGTTTTGGTAAAGAAATTAAACCGATATAAAAGATAGTATAATATTGCTAGTAAAATTTGAAAAAAAAAACAATACAATAACAACATACAATGTAGTACCAATATTTAATTATATCTTTACATTTTAAAACAACGAACCAAGCCAGCCGCCAAATTTCACGAACGCACATTGCGGCAGAACTCCCGATACCATCCACACCACCTGGATGATTGGCGGTCCACCACTGTGCGATTTAGAAGATGTTTTCTTCCTCGCACAACTTCCTTGTGGAATAGTTTACCACCAGCGATTTTCCCGGACCGATACGTCTTAGGGACCTTCAAGAAAAGAGCCTACTCCTTTTTAAAAGGCCGGCAACGTATCTGCAATTCCCCTGGTTCCCCTGGTGTTGCGGTTGTTCATGGGCGGCGGTAGTCACTTACCATCAGGTGAGCCGCATGCTCGTTTGCCCCCTCTAAAAAAAACTTTCAAGTAAGTTCGGTCATTTTATCACTAATCGACACCGTAGAGCAATATACTAAAAATAATCAAAATGATAGACATCAAGTAGCAATGCTTCGGCAATGAGCGTAACCTATTCATTTATTTGTACAAAAACGCTTAGTTCTTGTACGTTACTGAAATAACCTGACAATTAAAACGTGTTGCTGAAACAGGTTGTGAAAATAATCACTCATCACTCAAAGCTTTAACTCAATACTCATTTTTCCAATGTGTTTATGCGCACAGGTATATTTTAGGTATTTTTCTAATACTCTTAAAAGTATTGTGGAGTTGATTATTTTCAATAATACTCTTCATCGTCTCGTTGTTGTCATCAGAGCAAAAATATTGCATAATAATTTTGAAACCAGAGGACCATTGAATGAATTATAAAGTTCAAAGTGTAGATTTGCTGAGTAATCAAAAACTTACTAAAAATATCATTTTGACATTTCGATTTACTTTTAAAATTAATAAGAAGAATGATTTTAAAAACAATCAATTATTACACTTCGTGTATACATAAATATCTTAATTTTTATTTAGTTACAAGAAGTTTTAAAATGTTTTAAACATGTCTTGAAATTGCACACCTCAAATTGCACACATATTTAAATCATGAAATGAAAACAAAAAATATTAAAGCACGGTTTGTGCTTTCATTTGGATTTATATACCCGGTAATTTAGGTAAATTCATGCAGGACATACACTTATTCGGTGCTGGCCGGGCGCCCAGCAGACACAATATCTCGTGCACAGAATCTACGTTGCGGGTAACTATCCGGATGTGTACTACCTGATTTATTTGCTGATATTCACTAGTACTGACTAGTGTTGCAAAGAGATTTATAACTCAACTATTTTCAACCACAGAAAGCGATGAAGTGGCATCAAAGCTATGTGTTATTGTTAAAAAATATTTTTAATAATGCTAGAAAATTGAAAAAAACGGGTTTCCATTTTTACAGTGAAATAAATAAAACTTTCGAATTATTCACTTTAAGACAATTTGTTGACTTTGTAAACGTTTTCTATATTTATTGAACATCCTTGACTCATCCAATCTAGGAGAATAAAAATAAAATATATTCAAAATTTTCCTTTTCCTTATTATAACTTCAGGCCTCTGAAATGATTGATGGATCTTGATAAATAAAAATTCTATTAAGATTTCGCGGTACATCACTTTATTAGTTATTAAAGAAATTGCACCTATCAATCACATTTAAAGGTATGAATATGCGGGATATTATTTACCCCATTTTAAATAGCATCAAAAAGATTGAGGGATATTTATTTTAAAATTTTTCGATGTCTTTAGTAAATTATATAGTGTAATGTATGCGTCAATAAAAGGCAGAGATCTGGGAACGACTGTTTATTGAAAACTTAAATTAACCCACACCACATTTATTATCCAAGTACCGACATAACACTTCCCCCCTATATTTTAAACAATCTAACTCAAACAAACGGAAGACATGCCCTTTTTAAGTACATATTAATAAACTACAATATCAATACAAAAATGTGTAAAGGAAACACCATTAAATTCACTGAGCATGGTTGATGAATGATGGTACAGTAACTAGTTATATAATATATATCTATACATATTTATATGAACGAGATGCCAATATAATACATCAGATAAACTTATATTTATATCTATCTATATTAAACATCGATAGTTGCAACATGTGTTTCACTCCTTATTAGTAGCTGTGCAATGATGAGTGTGATGTATGAAAACAAACCATAAAATATCTTTACATCTCTTTTAATTTGTCAATGCAGCGTAATGCAGCCTTTCTATATACACGATTCTTCGGTGTCGTCGCTTGTTGTCTGTTGGTGTTGTCGTCACGTCTTTCAGACACGGTTCTCGAGGGAGGCGACTCCTGTGCCAGTTGCCATTCTTCTGCGACTTGATCGTCCTGATCAGTGTCAGGCTTCGCCATTGACTCTGTATCAGTTATGTCATACGCCTCCTCTTCCACCTTTGACAATGAAAATCGAGACTTTGGATGTTTAGTTGTTAAGATTTGATCAATGTGTCTCTTGTGTACACGACCATCTTGAGACTTTACTGTATAAGAAACTGGACTTTCTCGACGTACCACCGTCCCTTCAGTCCACTTTCCCCGGTTTTGAGAATAGTCCCGTAATAGCACGGAATCTTGGGGCTCAGCCACCCGCAGAGCGGTGTCCCGTCGCTGCTCACTAATCTCCTGCCGCTGTCGCACCAAGTCTCGTGTGTCAGACCGCAGCAGGTCCAGTCGACCACGCAACCGTCGTCCGAACATAAGCATTGCGGGCTCGCACCCAGTGGTACTATGTTCAGTGTTTCTATATGAGAAAAGAAATTTACTGAGTGCCGTATTAACATTTTCATTATCAACTTGGGCCTTTTTTAATGCCCTCTTAACCATTTTCACGGCATTTTCAGCCGCCCCATTGCTCGATGGGTGATATGGTGCAACTAGGGTATGGCGAATACCGTTAATGTCCAAATATTTTTTAAATTCTGCCGAGGAGAAAGGTGGTCCATTGTCGCTAACAATTATTTTAGGTAAGCCAAAACGCGCAAATTTTTTTCGTAAACAATCTATTACCACCGCAGCGGACGTACCAGAAACATGGTCAACCTCGATCCATTTTGTATAAGCATCGACAATAACTAAATAATACTTATTATTAAATGGCCCTAAAAAGTCTAAATTTAATCGAGCCCAAGGTTCCTCCGGCCACGGCCAGGAGTGCAGGGGAGCCGGGGCCGGAGCTGAGCGCTGCGACCGGCATGCGACGCATTCCTGTACTGTTCGCTCGATATCAACGTCTAATGTTTCCCACCAGACATAATTTCGCGCTATTTGCTTCATTTTTACGATGCCTGGGTGGCCGTCGTGAATTTCTTTCAAAATTGACAATCGTAATGATTTGGGAATTATTACCAGGTAACCCCAAATTAGGCAACCTTCATCCACACAAATATTTTCCTTACGATTAAAATATGCTTTTTCAGTTTCAATATTACTAGTTTTTGGCCACCCGAACATTACGTAACCATATATTTTACTCAATAAAGAATCTTTTGCCGTCTCAATTTTAATGTCTTTAAAACTAAGTGGAAAATTTTCTTGCACAAAATTAAGGTAACTACAGTCGCTGTCCTCACATTTGACTCTGTTTCTAGTAGGATTCAAAGGAAGACGAGAAAGCGCATCGGCGTGACAATTTTGAACTGATTTAATAAATTCGATTTTAAAATTATAAGCAGATAGCTGAACGGCATAACGCTGTAGTCTACTTGCGGCTGTCACAGGTATTCCTTTATTCGGCCCTAAGATGTAACTCAATGGACGATGATCACTACGTAAAATAAACTGTCGCCCGTATAAATATTGGTGGTGCTTGCGCACACCGAACACAATTGCGAGTGCCTCCTTGTCCAGCTGCGAGTAATTTTGCTCGGCGGCGTTAAGTGTACGCGACGCGCAGCACACGGGTCGCTCACTGCCGTCTGCGTACCGCTGAGCGAGCACGGCGCCCAGTCCGTATGCGCTGCTGTCCACTGATAACACCAACGGCAGAGTAGGATCGTAGTGTGCCAATACTGGTGCACTGCTCAATACTTTTTTCATTCGACAAAAAGCAACCTCACACTCATCATTCCATTGCCATTTAACATTTTTTTGTAATAAGTTGTACAACAGTTTCATTATCTCACTTATATTTGAACAAAACTTTGAGTAAAAATTAACAAGGCCCATAAAACTTTTTAATTGAGTTACATTTGTTGGAGAGGGGGCTGCCATAATCGCTTTAATTTTGTTAGGATCTGTATGCAAGCCGTCCTTATCAATTTTATACCCTAAATACGTTACACAATCCTGAAAGAATTGACATTTATTGAAATTAATTCTTAATCCATTTTGTTTTAACCTTTCTAACACTGCTCTCAAATTTGCTAAATGGGTAGTTTTATCCTTTCCAGTTACACATATGTCATCTGCAAATACAGCCGTTGAAGGCAAACCACTCAATGTTTCCTCCATAATCTTTTGAAAATTTTCAGGAATACATTTTATTCCAAAAGAGTATTTTGTAAATGAACGTCCCTATATGAGTGGTAATTGCTGTCAGCGGCTGTGATTTTTTATCCAATAAACATTGTTGGAACGCATTTGATAAATCAAGCTTTGTGTACTGTTCGCCGCCCCCCAAGGTCGCAAAAAGTTCTTCAATCCGCGGTAAAGCATAATGAAAATCTTTTAAAATCGGATTTATGGTTATTTTATAATCCCCACATATCCTGATTGAGCCATTGGACTTAAGAACAGGGACAATAGGCGTACCGTATTCTGACCTTTCGACTTTGTAAATAACCCCTTCGTATTCTAATCGTTTGAGTTCGCTTTCGACTCGCGGGCGCAGTGCCAATGGCAGCGGCCGTGCTTTCACAAACACAGGAGATTCAACCTTGAGGTGCAGCGATACAGGTGACTTGAATGTACCTAAACCTTCTGCAAACACTTCAGGGAATTCGTCTCTCAAAGCTTTTGCTACCGACTCCGAGTCGCTAATATTGTGACATTCAACAATTTCTATTTTCAATTTCTTAATCCACGTACGGCCCATTAAAGGTGGACCGCCGTTTTCAATAATAAATAACTTAAGCATCGCGGACTTTGAACCACAGATAACCATTACCACAATATAACCCATGGTCTCGATAACGTCGCCAGTATATGATCTCAGACATAACAACTTAGTTTGAATAGGTACATGTTTAAAATGTTCATCATAAAAATGTTTCGAAATAGCCGATATTTTACTGCCCGTGTCAATTTCAAATTTACATGGCACTTTTTCTACTACTAAATTCGCATAGTACGGTCCGTCACCGTCATTACTCGTAATCAAGTTAAAAAAATTACAGTCATCATTTGAGTCCGAATCATTTAAAAAGTACTGACCTTTGTTCTCCTTTGCACTCTTAAGTTCACTTTTACCTTGACACATTACTTTTAAATGGCCCTTCACTGCCCAACACGCATCACATGTATAATTTTTAAAACGACACTTACCGGCTATGTGACCGGTCTTACCGCAACGCGCACAAAGCCGACGCTGTGACGTCACCGTCATAGGCACGGGAGCCGCAGCAGATCGTGCGCGCGCTCCGCCGCTGCCGAACCGGTGCAGGCCGCCCTCGCCGCCGGCCGCCGCTGCGCCGGTCCCGCCAGCTCCGCCAGCGCTCGCGCCGCCCGATGCGCATGCCGTGCTCGCATGCCGCTCAGCTGCCTCGAGCGCCGTGGCCAACTCCACAGCTCTTTTGTAGTTTATACTCTTTTCGGCAAACAATCTTGACCGCATCTCTTCGCTGTATAAACCCGACACGAACTGATCGCGAAGGTTTTCTTCCAGAGTATTACCGAAGTTGCAGGTTTTAGCCAAGTGTTTTAGGCCATGTAGGTAAACACGGATACTTTCTCCCTGCTGTTGCGTCCGCTGCCGAAAAATGTGTCGCTCCGCTATTTCAGATCTCTCCGGCTCCAAATGATTTTTTACAAGTGTAACCAATTCTTCGAACTTCTTTGTTTCCGGTTCCGCGGGTGAACACAAATCACAAATAAGGTTATAGCACTCGGAACCCACTAACGTCAAAAGCGTAGCTACTTTTAGCTTGTCATCGATACTATTTAACAATATAAATTGTTTTACGCGACGAATGTAACTGTCCCAATTTTGGCTTTCGATATTAAAAGGTTCTATTTTTCCAATCGGCATTATGTCAAATAAAATTACACGTAAGTATTGAACTTCTAGACCGACTGCGCCAATGTAATGTATGCGTCAATAAAAGGCAGAGATCTGGAACGACTGTTTATTGAAAACTTAAATTAACCCACACCACATTTATTATCCAAGTACCGACATAACATATAGTATTTAAAGACCAAATTGCCTTATGATCTAACAATAACTAATATGGTATGTGTTAATTAGTTATTATGTACTTATTATAGTAGAAGAAAAATTTAGCTGGTTTTCATTAGAGTTACAGTTACACACTCGTATTCACCGCTTTGTTTGTATGAAATAATGACCCGAGTATTATATACATACATTTATAGGTGTATATTACACACACTGGGTAGATTGTGGATGTGGATTTTTTTATTAGTTCCATAGCGTAGTTGATGGCTGCAATTGTATTCAAAAGACACCTTACCTGTCACCTTACTTGAAATTGGCTTGGAGAGACTTTAAAATGAATCGTCTAAAATGCATAATGCGGTGATTATTAATTCTCTTTTCAAAAATAAGGACAAATACGTAAAAATTATCACGGTAAAAATTTTCATCTTTAGAATCCATTTGTTTTCTTCAAAGATAGATAGATAGTTGCTGTTAGTTCGTTTTTAATAAGGTCCTCCCGATCTATATCTACAGAACATCGGTCACAACAGCCACCCACACTGGACAGGATTATAAGGCACGAGTTTAGGCGTGATGTACCTGACACGTGCACATTATATTCTGTCACAATCATCCGACACGACCGGAGTGAGATCAGGCGTAGGAACAAATCTTTATGAGTTTTCCGTGGCACGGGGGTGAAACACCGCCATCTTTCTGACTCCGAACTACAGCTAAGAATTTCTTGATAGAGAAACCCCTATAACTAATTAAGGTTCGACCCGGGATTCAAACCCGGAACATCATGATCAGTAGCCACGTTTATGACCGCTATATCAACGAGGTAATCAATCGTTTTGAATACAGACTAGGTGTGTCATACCTTAGTTTAAATAAATAAAACACCAACCAAGGATTTGTGTTCTCAGTTCGGAACAAATTTTATACGAGTAAAACAATAGTCACTGAAAACATTCTAAGTGTAACCCCATTGTTCGTAAATTACATATATGTACATATTACGTTAGACGTTCAAAGTAAAAGGGTAATTACAAACTGTGTTTCAGTTTATTCTTGTTTCAATCTCTGGCTGTAAGCTAAATGTTTATTCAAGCTCTGTTTACTATGCAACACAAATAAGAAAAAAACAATGTGCTTACTGTAAGACGTGAAGCATTGAAAAATATGTTCTTCTAGATATAGGTATCACAATACTTTCAGTGGAAGTTAATTGAAACTATATGTTACATAACATATAATATATAATATTATTTATACGATGCATACCGCTATTGTATTTTTACATAGGTATTATTTTTATTAACTATGAATTAGTAAATAAAAAAATACGTTAAATTGATTCGATGAACTTTTAGTTCTTCATTCCATCTGTGAGTTCTATCTGATAAAATAATAAATTAAATGCAAAATTATTTTTCGGGTTAAGAAATACTTGCTAAAATATTATTTTATAATGAACACCTCTAATGATTAATAGGTAGTTCTTAAAATTTTAAAAGTTTAAACAATATAATATGTACCTATAATGTGAACTGAGAGGAAATAAATAAACAAATAAATCGACGTGAGAATATGAAACTCATATTTAAAAATACTAACACGACTCATATTTTGACAGTTGTCGGAAACAAGTGTCAAATAAAACGTATTGATTATATACACTTTGGTCTCAACGTTCAAAATTATGCCAAATGTTATCCATGCCATCTACATTAGGTGATGCTTGTGTATTAATTTATATACAAATATTCTACAATTACATTCTAATATTCTGTGATTATTAGAATATTCTGTGCTAGCTTTTATCTAAATCAGACTATTAGTTAGAAAGGAGATAACAATAAAAATGCATCGGAGTCGAGGATAAGAGAGCTACGCTACGCTCCGCTCTAATAAATGTTACCACCATTAGTTTTATAAACCGTAGCCGGTATAGACCGCAACCCAGTAAGTATTGAAATGGCGATACAAGCGAATACTTCGAAGTGATACAACTGCGAACTAAAGTGATCAGTAGTACAGAACAATTTTGTTTTATTATTAGTGTGGTTTTGAGATGTAATTAGTGGTCTGTAATTAAAGTGTCAATTTTGGTAACTCACTCGGCAGTTTTTAATTGTCTCGAACCCCAAGCTCGTAACAGTATTGAAAATATCACCAATCGCCCTCTTCATTTATATAACTGTGTTTCAGTCACATGAATTAAAAAAAAGACTTATCTGTAAAGGATGCTTCTTATTAGAAAAACGGAAAGAAAATATTGATAACTTAATATATGTATGTACACTTTAAGTATAATGTTGAGTGACCGTTTTTCTATATTATCTATATCCATATAAATAAATAAAATTAAAGTGTCTGTTTGTAATGTCAAAATAACTGATTTTTACTAAATGCATATGAAAGTAAATACGGTACTTTTAACAAAAACACATTTTTTAAAATTTTTGTCTGTCCGTCAGTTTGTTGCGGTTAATCTCCGAAACAGCTGGACCAATTTTGGCGGGACTTTCAATGGCAGATAGCTTATGTTATAAGGAGTAACTTAGGCTACTTATGTTTAAGAAAAAGAGTTCCGCGCAGTAAAAATAAAACCCTAAATTCGGATTGTAGTCGCGGGTAACAGCTAGTAATTAATACAAAAGGCTTGCGTCATTATACTCTGTACAAAACTGAAATGGCTATTTTATTATATTTTATTTTATTAAAAGATTTTTAATTTTGATATGGTCACTATAAGATATTGTTAGGTTAGCTAATTACGTAATAACTTAAGACAGAAGGACCCTTAAGTAGGGACTGAATTAATTAACCGACTTGGTATTACATGGATCTCACAACTTTTTACGGTAGAAGGGCTGAGTTGCGCGACTTGGTTTTTTTACAAGTTATGTTTTTGACGGCATCTCATTTCTTTTTGTAGATAGTTATATCTAGGTACCTATCTACACCTATTATTCCATTATATTATACATATATAGGTACACTGATTCATTCACTGCAAATGTAACTTTGTAATCATATATATTTATATGGGATTACAGTTATTTATGCAGTTGGTGTATCTCGAAAACTGGACCGAAATTGCAAAATATTTTAATTTTTCCTTAATTGATGTACTAAATAATAATTGTATTCCAAATTTGAAGCTTCTATGTCTGCTAGAAATGCCTTAGAGTTTTGATGATCGGTCAGTCAGTGAGTGACAAAATTAAGAAATTTTGACTAGTTATAACTCTTAAACTACTGGTTCAAATTTAATGAAATTTGAAATATTATAAGTTTATACAATGCCTACTTGGTTACTAAAAATCAGGCTTCTAGTTTTATTCATAAAGAAGTTATAGGGTTTCGAAAATGGCCTGAACTGCTTCGAGAAAAGGATGGTACGGCCGTGCCGCTTTTTTGCTCGACTTGGCGGGGGCACTCCCGTGCCTCAAGATAAACTACTGGTTTGTCCCCAATTTTCTACTACACTAACAAATATTTTATTCGAGGCTATATTATATTTTGAATATACTCTTTGACTTGAGCCCATATTAACTCAATAGAATTTAAATAACACTGGCAAGGCGGCAGTCAAAAGTTACTACCAAATTTTTACGTGACGCCCTGTCTTGCAAGGGATTGTGGTCTATGAAATCTAATTTTATCTATTTTATTTTGTTGGTAGTTCAGCTCTTCTTTTATATATTATTTTATCAGGATTTTAGCGATCTTTTTGAGTATCACTCCGTAACCTTGTACCCAGTTGATTGCAAAGGGGATCTATCTTACATAGGACAAACAAAAAGATCCACAAACTTGTTGGTTTGTTAGCAGAGTTGGAATTCCTTTTTTTTAGGGTGATAAGAAGCATTGTCCATGACAACAATAGAGTTTTGTTCAATATTTGGCAAAATTTTAGAGAACTATTTTTCAAAATTACAGAGTCCATTTTAGATTAACAGCCTTCAGCCTTTTTGCTTCAAAAATGAGTTTCCAAAAAAAGTTTAAAAGAAATTGTTAAATTAATGCTTGCTGGATAAAATATGTTTCTTATTGTTTTGTTACAAAAAAAATGTACCTATATTAACAGA